GCGTGCCCCGAGGCCTGCCGGGGGCCTCGGCACCCTCTTTCTTGCTGCGCGCTCCCCGGGATGTCCGGCCGTCGTGCGACCGTCCGGCCGTCCGGCCGTCGTGCGACCCGCAAGCACGGGCTCGACGCTCGTTGGCGAGCCACGCGGGTTTTCCCCAGCGATGTGTGCGTGCCGCCCTGTGGGCTCGTCCTCGGACCGGCGGCGACCGAGGGGGGGAAGCGGGGAGGAGAAGGCCTGAAGGCCTTCTCGGGAGCCCTCGCGCCCTCCGAGAAGTTCTGTCATCGTCTCCGGGGAAGGCTTGCAGAACACTTTTTCCCTACAGAGGCTCTGCCTAGAAGGGTTCTTACCCTATGGGCTTAAAGGGCCGGGCAGTGGGAACCGGCCCGGGCGGTTCCCCCAGTCCCCTGGGAGCTTTAGCTTTAGCTTTGGCTTTAGCTTTAACTTTAGCTTAATTAGCTTTAGCTTAGCTTTAGATTAGCTTTAGCTTAACTTTAGCTTAGCTTTAGCTTAACTTTAGCTTACCTTTAGCTTAGCTTCAGCTTAGCTTTAGCTTAGCTTCAGCTTAGCTTCAGCTTAGCTTTAGCTTAGCTTTAGCTAAGCTTTAGATTAGCTTTAGCTTAGCCTTCGCTTAGCTTTAGCTTAGCTTTAGCTTAGCTTTAGCTTAGCTTTAGCTTAGCTTCAGCTTAGCTTCAGCTTAGCTTTAGCTTAGATTTAGCTTAGCTTTAACTTAGCTTTAACTTAGCTTTAGCTTAGCTTGAGCTCAGCTTTAGCTTAGCTTTAGCCTAGCTTCAGCTTAGCTTTAGCCTAGCTTCAGCTTAGCTTTAGCTTAGCTTTAGCTTAGCTTCAGCTTAGCTTTAGCTTAGCCTTCGCTTAGCTTTAGCTTAGCTTTAGCGTAGCTCTAGCTTAGCTTTAGCTTAGCTTCAGCTTAGCATTAGCTTATATTTAGCTTAGCTGTAACTTAGCTTTAACTTAGCTTTAGCTTAGCTTTAGCTCAGCTTTAGCTTAGCTTTAGTCTAGCTTCAGCTTAGCTTTAGATTAGCTTTAGCTTAGCTTCAGCTTAGCTTTACTGTTACCACTTAGGCTGCTTTCCTAGCGGCTCCAACTCCTAGGTATGGTCGCACTGGGATAATTCATCGTCTCCGGGGAAGGCTTGCAGGAAACTTCTCAGGAGGCCCAGGGGACCTCCGAGGCTTCTGAGAAGGCCCTCTCCTCGGGGGCGGCAAAGAGCGGGGTGATGACTAGGGGGGGTGGTGGATATCATGGCGGGGGCCATGCTATCTCCCCAGATCTCAGGGCGCCTCCTCTCGTTTCGTGACGCCCCCGGCCACCCCGCTGGGCCGCGCACGTGCCGCTGGCCATGATTGGACCCCCCCCCTCTTGGACGCCCCCCCCTTGGCCGCTCCCGATCTCCTTCTCACTTCCCCCCCTTCGCTCGCCGCCGACATGAGGACTCCCAGGTCTTTCCTCTCTCTGTATAGATCCTGTTGCCCCTGCGGCCACGGCGGCTCGCGGGGCCCCCTTCTGCCCGCGGCAGCGGACAGGCGGTGTCGACTCGCGCGGGCCCCCTCCTCGCTCCTCCTCCTCCTCCTCCTCCTCCTCCTCCTACTCCTCCTCTCCCCTCGGCCCTGCCCCTCCCCTCCCCTCTCCGGCTCCCCCCCCTTCCTCGCCGCCCCCCTTCCTGCGAAGGTGCGCGAGGGCGTGAAGAAGTTCTCCGACTGGCCGACCGTCCCGCAGCTGTACGTAAAGGGGGAGTTCATTGGTGGTTTCGTTCCGATTTCTCGCTCCAGCTCGCCTCTCCAAACATGTAGGCTGCAGGCCAGAATCTTGGGCTGGCCAAACTGCGGACGCGTTCCCTCTGGGCGAGCGCGTGCTGTGGAGCACCGACGTTGGTGGCATGACACCATCTCCAGAGAGTGGGGTGCGTCGTCCTGGAGGTCTCCAGGGGTCCTCGGAGGTCCCTGGAGGTCTCCATCGGCCACCAGGAGGCCTTCAAAAGGCGCATAGCATCAATCACTTTTCGAAGACCTCGGCCCTGGAGCTGCAGTGGGGACGCACACCAAGAAGCCAGATGCTGTTCGTTAGGGTAGCTCGTGTTTCTTCGCATCGAGCGCTGCGCGGTTACCTCCTGTGGGCGTTTCAGAAACTGCTGCATTCAAGGTGCACTGGGCCTTCCCCCACATGCAACACGCGCGCGGAGTTACAGGTTTGGGTTTCTTGCGAGGGCTTCTTGCGGCCCTGGCCGCACTTTAGTTGACATCAGTTTGGGCTTGTGGCAGTAACTCGGCTTTGGCGACGCACGGGCCAGCGGGAGCTTGCACGGTCGTTGTGCAGAGCTATGGTGGGGCTTGCGGGGGTTGGTGGCGCCTTGTGTTGGGAGCGTGAGGTGACAGCACGCAGAGCGAATCAGAAGCTGGTCAGAGGGGCTAGCTGGTCAGAAGGCTGGCAACGGAGGGGGGAATGGGGAACACACAACATTTTCTGTGTGTTTGCTATTACTCTGGCACATCTCACACCTTCGTTTCGTGGCCCCATATGGAGCTCCAGCTAAGGCCCCAGTGGCAAGGTCCGCATGTGGGCGTCGCCACCGTTTCGGCACACCGCTCACGTTACGTGGCTCCATAGGCAGCTCCACCTGATGCCGCAGGTTCCGCATGCGGGCGTCACCACCGCTTCGGCACACCCCTCACACGTTTCATGGCCCCATAGGGATTTCCACCTGAGGCTCCAGTGGCAGGGTCCGTATGTGGGCGTCACCGCCGTTTCGGCACACCCCTCACACGTGTCGTGGTCCTATAGGGAGCTTCACCTAAGGCTTCCAGTGGCAGGGTCCGCATGTGGGCGTCACCGCCGTGTCGGCACACCGCTCATACGTTTCGTGGCCCCAGAAGGAGCCCTACCTGAGGCACCAGTTGCAGGGTCCGCATGCGGGCGTCACCACTGCTTCGTCACACCCACCTCTCATACGTTTCGTGGCCCTACAAGGGGGGCTCCACCTGAGGCCCCAGTAGAAGGGTCAGCATGCGCGCACCAACACCGTTTCGGCACACCTTCACATGTTTCGTGTCCCAATCGTGAGCTCCACCTAAGGCCCCAGCGGCAGGGTCCGCATGCGGACGTTACTTGATATGGTCAGGCCCCTCGCCAGCCTAATGTTGCTGTTTGGTGCATCTTCGGCCTTTCTTCTGGAGGCCTCCAGAGGCCTCCGGGGACCCCTGGGGACCCGGGGACCATGGACCTCCCTGAGGAACTCATTGGGGACCTCTGGGTTTTGGGGACCTCCGGGGACCGCTTGAGACCTGGGAGCTGGACTGGCGGCGCAGGCAACGGGGGATGGCGCGAGGGGGGCAGCCTTGCTAAGAACTTGGGGGTTTTCTATAAGCAGGCAGGCGGCTTCCCAGAAGCTGGGCCCTCCCAGCTTTGAGAGGCCCTTTCAGACGTACCCAGCGCGGGAATCAGAGGGTCCCGCAGCAGCACGTGAGCTTGCAGTGCCGACGCCTCATCCCCAGCCTCTTGATGCTTCCGAGGCTGCGTCGGTCTCCGCAGGCGTGTATGGAGGAATGGGGAAATGGAAGAGGAGCATGCGAGGAGGACTGGAGGTGGAGAACCGGAGGAGAAGGGAGGAGGGAGGACGAAGGGAGGAGGCAGGAGAGGAGAAGGACGAGGCGGAGGCGGAGGATGAGGATCGGTATGAGCATGGCCAGGCGAAGTGTGCTTTCGCATATACTTTGTTGTTTCCTGGAGCTGCGCCCACAAGCCTGCCCACCTCTCTTTTTTTCCACCGTCCCGCAAGCCCCTGCGCACCTTTCTCCTTGCACCATTTCTCCCCCCGCATGGCTGCTGTTACTTTCGCCAGAGTCGTCGTCTTGCCCTCCAGCGTGATCGGAAAAGGCAGGCATTCGCCTGCTGGCCGCGCAAGACAAGCGCACGTCTTCTTCCATGCCCTTCGGCGTCCTGACGTGGTGCCTGGCCTGGCCTGGCCCTGCAGGTGGCTGTGACATCGTCACGCAGATGCACAAGGACAGCGAGCTGTCAGAGGCGCGCGCGGGCCGAAGTAGAGCTCACGGCCAGGGAGGGACGGCGCGGGCAGGGGATGGGGAGGGGGAGAAGGAGGAACAGGAGGGAGATAATGGGGCTGAGGAGGATTCATTGTCGTCGTCGTCGTCGTCGTCGTCCTCGTCCTCTTCGTCGTCGTCGGCTTCATCGTCGTCGTTCATCGTCGTCGTTCATCGTCATCGTCGTATTGAGCCAGACAGGGGGGTAAGGGCGAAGGGGCGCATGTGGGCTGGGAGAGGTTTAGGACAGGACAGGGACTGGGAAGCGGAGGGCTCACTGCCTGGAGCTCCAGCGCGTGGGGGGAGGCAGGAGGATGAGGGGAGGGGGGCGAGGAGGAGGAGGGGGGAGGTGGATGTTGATGATGATGATGATGATGATGATGATGATGATGATGATGATGATGATGATGATGATGGTGATGGTGATGATTATGATGATGATGATAATGATGATGGTGCTGATGCTGCTGCTGATGATGCTGATGATGACGATGATGATGATGATGATGATGAGGAGGGTTATGTTGATGATGATGCTGCTGCTGATGATGATGATGCTGCTGCAGATGATGATGATGATGACGATGATGATGATAATGATGATGGTGCTGATGCTGCTGATGATAATGCTGATGTTGTTGATGATGATGATGATGATGATGATGATGATGATGATGATGATGATGATGATGATGATGATGATGATGATGAGGGTTATGTTGATGCTGCTGCTGCTGATGATGATGCTGATGATGCTGCTGCTGATGATGATGATGATGCTGCTGCTGATGATGATGATGATGATGATGCTGCTGCTGCTGCTGATGATGATGATGATGTGATGAGGATGAGGAGGAGGAGGAAGGAGGAGGGGAGGAGGAGGAGGAGGAGGAGGAGGAGGAGAGAGGAGGAGGAGGAGGAGGAGGAGGAGGAGAGGAGAGGAGGAGGAGGTGGTGGATGAGGAGGAGGAGGAGGAGGAGGAGAGGAGGAGTGGAGGAGAGGAGGAGGAGGAGGAGGAGGAGGAGGGGAGAGGGAGGAGGAGGAGGATGATGAGGAGGAGGAGGAGGAGGAGGAGGAGGAGGAGGAGGAGGAGGAGGAGGAGGATGAGGAGGAGGAGATGAGGATGAGGAGGAGGAGAAGGAGGAGGAGGAGGATGTAATCTATACATATCTATCTATCTATCTATCTATCTATCTATCTATCTATCTATCTATCTATCTATCTATCTATCTATCTATCTATCTATCTATCTATCTATCTATATATAGAGAGAGAATGATAGAGAAAGAGAGAGAGAGAGAGAGAAAGGAGTGAGCCTCTCCGCCCCGCCCCCTTGCCCCCACTGGCAAAATCATCCAGGCGCTGGATTTGGGAGCTTTCGACCCCACCCCCTGGGCCCTGGGGACAATGTCTTTCGCCCCAGGCAGCTCCATGCTCTGTGAGGTGCGAGCAGCCCTACGGTTGATGGACAAACTCCTGCACCTTCTATGTCGATTGTTGGGGACCCCCCGCGCCCCCAATCTACTATTGCCGGGCTGCGTCGCGATGTGCCGATCTTCGACTGGCCGAAACCCTGCGCCCCGCTGACGATGCTCACCAACACAGGGTCGGGAGCAGGGGTCGGGTTGAAGTTTGCGCCGGCACACCGGTCGTGCGGGTGGTGCAGGATTTTGTCCATCAATCGTACTCCTGCGGGTCCAATGGATGAAAGCTGGGGTATTAGACACCCCCGCTGGGGTTCATCTCATGGCGGTTGGCACGCTGGAGGTTCGCCCAGGTCCGGGGTCAGACATTCTGCGAGCACCTGCGAACCCTACACCCAGGTCCAAATGGACGCTGGGGTGTCAGTCACCCGCAGGGGGGTATCATTAGGGGAACAAAAGTGACATAAACATAAGAACTCGGAGGTCTGCGCGGATTTCTCGGATCCGCGCTGGGGCCCCCTGGCGGCGCCTCCGGCGCCGCCCCTGGCGCGCTCCGCGCGCCAGGGAGGGGGGTCCAGCGCGGATCCAAGAAATCCGCGCGGACCTCCGAGTTTTTATGTTTATGCCACTCTTCGTTCCCCCAATCATCTGGCTGCAGACGTCCTGTTCCTGAGCCCCAGCGTCTTTTTCAGACGTCTGGCCTGCAGGGGTGGTCGGACGGGCCCAGAATGGAGATAAGTCCTTCCCAGAGCGTTCCAGAACGGTCCCAGGGCGTTGCGCGACGCTCTGAAAAACGGCGGCGGCGCCCGACGCGTCCTCCAAGCCTGTCTGTTCTCAGAGGTTCTCGGACTCGTATCTTTCCGATGTTGTCGCGATTTTGCCTTCGTCTTGGGCGGAGTTCGCGCTTGCTTGCTTGCTTGCTTGCTTGCCCAAAAGCCAGTCTTATGTCGGGCCTGTCCCCCTACAGGGAGGTTTTCGACGAAAAATCAAAAATACCCAAAACATAGTCCAAAAATACTCCAAACATAGTCTGGGGACTATTGTTTGAGTATTTTTTTTGATCTTTTGGGGGTATTTTTCGGGTATTTTTGTTTTTTCGTCGAAAATCCCCCTGTAGGGGGACACGCCCGACATGAAGCCAGTCCCCCGGGCCTGCCCGGGGGCGCGCTCCGGCCGGGCCGCCCAGGGGCAGAGGGCGGTGACCCCAGAGGTGCAGTCCAGCACCGCACAGAAGCCCTGCATGCGAGTGGACGCGTTGGCAGACCGAGCAGCCAAGCGCTGCCGAGGGTGGCAGCAGGCGAGAGAGCGCGGCCAAACGCCGACGCCAAGATTCGGCGGCGAGCGAGGAGGGGAAGTGAGAGGGGGCGGGCCTTCTCAGGAGTCGTGGAGGTCCCCTGGCCTTCTGAGAAATTTTCTGAGCCTTCCCCGGAGACAGAAACAACCTCTCAGTAGGCGCGACGGCTTCTGAGAAGTCCCTCCGCCCTCTGAGAAGCCCTTCTCCTTCTCACTTCCCCCCTTCGCCTGCCGCCAAAAATGGCGATGAAGGGCGACGACGTCGATGGTCCGAACACCGCGACGGTAGAGGGAAGCAATTACTGAACGCTCCCCCTCCTCTCCCAAACTCAAAGTTGGCACGCGCGGGGGAGACTGCGGTCGCAGTGCAACTCATCAGACCCGCCGCCAATTTTGAACATTGGGGGGAGGGGGAGGCGTTGACAGATGAATGTGGCGTGAGTGTTCGCTATTTTCGGGGGATGGACAGATATCCCACCCTGACACGTCGATTAGGGAATTGTCAGTTTTCGGTTCTCGAGAGGGCGCCGCGGTCGTCACTTTCCAGGCTGGCGCTCGCCAGGCTTGGGCCCGAGGTCGTTTTCACTAGACCACGCTTTACTTAAGGGGCGTCTGTCCATCCTGGATTTTTTCCTGCACATCCACTTCGGCACCGCCTGCTCCCCGGGCCCCGCCCGCCTTGGCCGCCTGAGGCCCCGCCTTCCTGTGCCCGGTCTCCCTAATTCAAGCTGTGCGTAGCCCGCCTAGCTCTTAGCGGAAGAGGTTCGCTCTCGCCCCGCACATCAAAAAACTGTCCATCCTCGGGCCCTCAGACCTCGGGCCCCGACCCTCCCTTCCCCGCCCCCCCGCTCCTCGAGCCCTCTCGGGCGCGGGAGGGCCTGCTCTCTCCCGCCTCCCCCCGCCTCCTCCCCTCTCCTCGCCCCTCCCGCCTGCCTGCCTGCCTCCTCCTAATCCTCTCCCTCTTCCTGCCTCCTCGTCCTCCTCCTGCCTCCTCCTCCTGCCTCCTCCTCCTCCTCCTCCTTCTGCTCCTCCTTCTGCTCCTCCTCCTTCTGCTCCTCCTCACCCAGACCTCCTCCTCCCCCCCTCCTCTAGCCTCCACCGCCGCCTCCTCCACCGCCGCCTCCCCCCCTCCTCTAGCCTCCTCTAGCCTCCACCGCCGCCTCCTTCGCTGCCCCTCTTCCCCCTCCTCGGTCCTGGGCCCTCGAGGTGCCGCCCTCAATCCCCCGAGCCTCGGCCGACCTCCCGCGCCCGGGTCGCCCACGCCCCGAGGCCGCTCCGCGGCGGGGCCCTCGAGCCCCTCGACCCTGGAGCCTGGAGCCCCGACCGTCGACCCCCGAGCCTGGACCCCCCCCCCCAGTCCTCGAGGCCGGGCCCTCGATCCTCGACCCTCGTGCTTCGATCGTCGATCTTCGAGCTCCTCCCTCCTCTTCCTCCTCCCTCCTCCTCCTGCCTCCCCCCCCTCCTTCCTCCTCCTCCTCCTCCTCCTCCTCCTCCTCCTCCTCCTCCTCCTCCTCCTCCTGCCTCCCCCCTCCTCCTCCTCCTCCTCCACCTCCTGCCTCCCACCTCCTCCTCCTCCTCCTCCTCCTCCTCCCTCCCACCTCCCTCCTGCCTCCTCCTCCTCTCTCCTCCTCCTCCTCCTCCTCCTCCTCCTCCTCCTCCTCCTCCTCCTCCTCCTCCTCCTCCTCCTCCTCCCCCATCCCCCATCCCCCTCCCCTCCCCCTCCTCCTCCGCCTCCTCCTCCCCCTCCTCTTCCTCCTCCTCCTCCTCCTCCTCCTCCTCCTCCTCCGCCTCCGCCTCCCCCTCCCCCTCCTCCTCCTCCTCCTCCTCTTGCCTCCTCCTCTTGCTTCCTCCTCGTCCTCCCTCCCTCCCTCCCTCCTTCGCTGGCACAGGTGCTCAAAGACGTGCTCAAAGAGTGAGGCGCCGCCCGCGGCGGGTGCGAGCCTGCCCCGCGCAGGCCGCGCGGGCAGGCGTGCCCCCCCTGCGAGGGCCCGAGGGCCGCGAGGCCCGGGCCCCCGCTGACCGGGATCCCGCCTCGTCGGGGGCGTCCGAGTGGGGGGTCTCGGGTGATGTAGTGGTTGGTGAGAAGGCCCTACGGCCGGTGCCGCCGACCCGGAAGACGAGGACTACGACGACGAGGAGGAGGAGGAGGAGGAGGAGGAGGAGGAGGAGGAGGAGGAGGAGGAGGAGGGGGAGGAGCAGGAGGAGGAGGAGGAGCAGGAGGAGGAGGGGGAGGAGGAGCAGGAGGAGGAGGAGTAGGAGGAGGAGGAGGAGGAGGAGGAGGAGGGGAAGGAGGAGGGGGAGGAGCAGGATGATCCTTTAGGGGGCCTCCGGAGAGCCGGGGGATCCCTGGAGAATGGGGGGCGTCCTGGGAGTCTCTTGGGCGTCTTGCGTGCCTCTTGGGGGGCTTCTTGCGCTCCTCCTTGGAGCCTTTCGGGGCCGAGGGCTCCGGTTGATGTAGTGATTATTCTCTTGCACGGCTGCGTTCTGGAGCTCGGACCTCTTCATTTTCGTTCGTCGTCGTCGTTCGCTCGTTCGTCCTCTCCCCCAGGCCACAGAGGGAAACTCCCGAAGGAAGGAGGCGAAAGCCTCCTGTCCCTCGCAGCTCCTTGGTGCAAGAGCCAGGGCACGCGTGCCACTTGTTTCGACTACACGCAAGAGTGACCTTTCGCCCGAGTGACCTGTGGTGCGGGCACATTCGGGTTCCCAGATGACCGAACGTGATGCGATAGTCTAGGCCTCTCAGATGGGGTCGTGTCGGAGTAGATGGGGTCGGAGGATCGCACCGCATCACCAATGCATCGGCGATGCGGCTCAGTGTGGAGCTCGATTTTCTCCACGCCGACGCCGCCGATGCGTCGCCGACGTCGCCGATGCATCGCCGATGCTTTGGCGATGCGGTGCGATCCTTCGACCCCATCTACTCGGACCCCATCTAGGAGCCCTTTATGCTTCGACTACACGTAAGAGTGACCTTTCGCAATAGCAGTGTGTCGTTCGCATGGGTTTGGCCTCCCCGCGGCCCCCGAAAGTCGCGCGCAAAGGGTCACTCTTGCCTAGGGCCACTCTTACGTGTAGCCGATTGTGCTGCCCTCTAACATTTCGGATCTGACGAGAGGGTGGGGACGAAATCTGCTGTATGCAGGTCTTTTCTGCAGGTTTTCGTGGACTCTCGGCGGTTCTCATGCCTGGGGCGCCTGCCAGAAGCTGCGCCTCGACGAGAGCTGTCGGGGGGAGCCCGCATCGTCCCGAGCGGCCGCCGGATGCCAGAGCTTGACCCGAGAGCCACCAGGCGTCGAAGAGGCGGGTGAGGACTGGGGCGCGTGTGGACATCATGGCTGCGGGCCATAAGATCACCGATCTCCTGGCCCTCTTCTCTTCATTCGACACGCTCCCTCCCCCACCTCTCGCCCGCGCACGTGCTCGGGCCACGATGCGCTGACACCCCTCTTCCTAGCCCCCCTATTCGGCCCACTCGGGCCTCCGTGTCGTCCTCGTCGCCGCCGCCGCCGCCGTCGTCGCCGTCGTCGCCGTCGTCGTCGTCGTCGTCGTCGTCGTCGTCGTCGTCGTCGTCGCTGATTTTTTCGGGGCCTTTGCCCTCGCCGCTGCGGCTGGCTTCTTTCCGGGACGCCCCCGTTGCCCCCCCCCCCGTCGTCCACGCACGTGCCTCCGGGCCACGATCCAGGGGAACCTCGACGACGAGGATGCTCAGGACGAGGACAGTGATGAGCATGCTGATGCTGACGATTACTCCGGATTTCGTAATAAAGGGAGGGGGGTCTCATTTCGGGGGGGTCTCTTCCAGGCCATCTTGGAGGGCCTGGGGGGGTCTGGGGACGACGTTTTGGAGGGTTCTCCCACGGGGGGGGGGTCTGAAATGGCTTGTCTTGGAGGGTCCAGACCCCCTCCCTTTTATTACGACATCTGGAGTATGCTGATGATGATGACGATCATGATTCTGCTGCAGCTGCTGATGCTGCTGCTGCTGACTGCGAAGGCCCTGCGGCAAGCGCCCGCCGACCCCGAAGGCGGCACGCCCGGCCCCCGCCGGCGACCGCCCCCCCTCCGGGAACCTCTTGGGGACCCCCCGTGGATCGAGGGGGGGCGGTCGTCCGAGCCCGACCCGGGACCCCTCCGCCCCCCCCCCGCGGCAGGGCAGGGATCCGAGGGAAGCGGCTTCCTTTTGGCGACTTGAGTGCGACACTCTTCAAGTTTCTGGTTCCTCAGTCTGTTTGCGTCTGACGGCGTCGTCGACGACGACGACGACGGCGGCGGCGGCGGCGGCGGCGACGACGACGGCGGCGGCGGCGGTGGCGGTTGCTGTGGATTGGTATTCCTATCTGTGGAGAAGGAGGGGGGGAGGGCGGCGAGGAGGTCCTACTGCTTTCTTGTTGCAGTCCTATCGCGCTTGCATTAGAAAGCAGAGGGAGAGGAGGAGGAAGAAGGGTGGAGGAGGGACGGGGTGCGCGGCAACTTACCAGGAAAACAGGAAAGACAGGGAAAACCATATGTCTGCACAAAGAGAAGTAAGCAACAGTCACGAACCCTGTGACAGTCGTTTTCTTAGCTCCTCCTGTTTTCCCTGTGGAAGCATGTTTTTTTTGTTTTTTTGTTTTTCTTGTTTTTCCTGTTTTTCTGGTTTCTCTGGTAAGCTTCCGCTGCCCCTCCCGCCTCCTCCGCCATCCGTCCACATCCTTCCTCCTCCAATGAAATTACGATAGGATCGCAATAAGAAACAAAATGATTGCCTCACTCCATCCCCCTCCTCTTCCAACAGGAATGCGATCGGAAGGCAAACGGAATTCCGATCGAGAGAGAAGGAAGGGGGGAGGGCGGTGAGGAGGTCCTATTGTTTTCATATTGCAATCCTGTTGCGCTTGCGGGAGGGGGTGGCACGGAAGCTTACCAGGACAATTGGGAAAGCTGGAAAAACAGGAAGAACCATGTGTGATCGCAGAGGAAGATAGGAACACACCACAAACCTTGTCTGCTGCCGCTCTTTTTTAGTTTTTCCTGTTTTGCCCTTTGAGGACACCAGCTTTTTTCTGTCTTGTTCCATGCTTTCCTGATAAGCTTCTGCTGCCCCTCCCGCCTCCTCAGCCCTTCCTCCTCATCCTTCCTACCTCCTCCACTGCAATTATAATAGGACTGCAAAAAGAAACAAGATGACCACCTCACTCCATCTCCTTCCTCTTCCCGTAGGAATGCGATAGGAATGCAATCGGGATTCCTGTCGGCAGGTAAGGAAGGGGGAGGGCGGTGAGGAGATTCTATTGCCTTCATATTGCAATCCTATTGCGCTTGCATTCGAATGGAGAGAGAGAGAGGAGAGAGGAGGACCCTTCGTCCAATAAGAATGCGATAGGAATGCAATCGGGATTCCTCCGCCCCTCCCTTCCTCCTTCTCATACGGGAATTCAATAGGAATGCACTCGGAAAGCAATAGGAATCTCTCCCTCTCCCTTCTCTGCCACCAATCGGAACACAATCGGAAAGCAATGAGAATGCAGTGAGAATACAGCCCGGATTCCTCCACATCCCTTCCTTCTCCCCTTCCTGCAACAATAACACAACCGACGTGGCAATCGAGGACGGAGATGCACAATAAATCGTCCAGAAATCCATCCACAGAAAGCTTCGCTGTACACGCCGGTCGTTGAAAGTAGGTATTTTTGGATCCCCAGGTCCCAATCTACTTCAAGCGCCTTCCTACTGCAATCATCGACACGCTGTTGCTGTGTTTTGTTTCTCTCTGGGAGGGAGATCCTGGACCCAATCTGCTATATCCGCCTTCCTTCAGGAGGGAAAGAAACACACAGACACAATTATTCGTCGATCCCCAGAAAACATGGGAAAATATAGGAAGTGGGGGGGAAGACAGAAACCCAGAAAATATAGGAAAATATGGGGACTATTTTTATTTGTGTGTATTTATTTGTGTGTTCCAGGGCCCCTTGATTCACCTCCGCTCTGGACCAGTGTGCGAAGCCCTCTGCCGCAGCGCCTCGGCGGCAGGCTCGAGGATTCGGGTCTTGACAGCCCCCCCCCCCTTGCCCAAGTCGGAAGCCGGGCGAGGGCTGCCAAATCTGTGGCTGCTAAAATCGACCTCCGGAAGTCGTTTTCGTCCTTCCGGGAAGAAGCCCGTGGACTGTTTCGCGTGCCGCGCCTCATTCTGGGAAGTTGTTTACCCCTTCCGGGAGGGCCCTTTTAACAGCTACGGTTTTAGCAGCCCTCGCCCAGCTTTCGACCAAGGGCGGGGAGCGCACCTGGGCTCCCGGTCCTGGGCGTTCCCCGAGCAAGTGCTGCCCCGAGATCGACCTCCTCTGCGGCTTCGCTGTTGTACAGTGCCGTTTTTAATACATGCTCCGCGTGCGGATCATGTATCAAACAATGCAGGGATTTGGTACTAAAAACAAATGAGTTCATGCATACATTTATTCATAACTTAATCATGTTTTACACATCCCATAACTATTTTAAAAACTATTCAACAAAAACACAAACAAACACAAAAAAGAGGAAGAAAAAGCCTGCCCTGTAGGGCCTGCGTGTCATGTGAGGGCGGCTCCCCTGCCGTCTCCGTCAGAGCTCGGGGGCTGCCGGCGGTGGCCCCGGCCCACGGGGAGGCCTCCGACGCAGGCATTTGGTACGTGAGCACCGCCTGGAGGGATCCATGCTCGGGGACCTCGGCAGGCGGGTGGGATATCAAGGGCTCCCTCGAGGGCGCGAAGTTATTCGCGCTTCGCGCTTCGCGGTCCTCCTTCCTCCTCCCCCTCCTCCTCGTCCTCCTCTTCTCCCCCTTGGGGGGCGGCGCGAGAGCGCGAAGTTATTCGCGCTTCGCGCTTCGCGCAGCGCGAAGCGCGAACTTAGGAGCCCTTGGATATGGACATACGGCAGGTTCGTGTCGTGTCGACCGGCGGCGACCCGGCCAGCGGCGTTCCACGCTGAACGCCGCGGGCGACCCAGAATCGTTCGATGTGGAACGCTGTGGACGTTTCGGGAACGGCCGATCATTCCAGGTTGACCGATCCCCGCGGTGTCAGGAACCAACGCCGGGGTCGACACGACACGGACCTGCCGTATTCGGGCCCCCGGGGTCCAAACTAGATCCATATCCGCCGCCCGCCGGGGCACCAGGACGTCGGTTCCCAGGCGGTGGATATGGAGGAAGCCCCGCCTCGCAAGCCAGCGTTTCGGGGAGGCTCGCGTGGCCTCCAGGGCACCCCTCGCGGGGCCTGGAGGGCCCCCCCCCTGGGCTCCAGAATGGCGCGAGAGTTGCGGGCACGTTGGGCCGAGATCGCCTGTGGCGACCTCCGACAAGCCGGGGGTATGGTGAGGAGATTCGCCGAAGCAGGAAGGAAGGGGGGAAGGACAGAGCAGGAGGAGGGAGAAGAGGGGGAGGGGGGCGAGCGAGGTTGGGGGGGGAGGAGAAGCGGAGGCATCAGCGGCAACGGAGGGGATGGCGGCGACGGGGGGAGCGGGGAGCGGGTTGGAAGGGAGGGAGGCAGGGAGGGAGGGAGGAGGGGAGGGAGGGAGGGAGGGAGGGAGGGAGGGAGGAGGAGAGGAGGAGGAGGAGGAGGAGGAGGGAGGAGGAGGAGGAGGAAGAAGAGCAGGAGGTGCCGCTCTCCTTGGGCAGCCGCAGGGGCTGTGGAGTCTCGGTCCTGCTCCGGCGAGGGAGCAGCAGGTTCCCAGGCTGTCCCGAGCGCGCGGCGAGGCCTTGGCTGGAAGGCTGGAGGAGTCACGGCCGATCATTTCGGCGTTCTAACACCAGGAATCCTCCCTCTCCCCCTCCCCCGCCTCCCCCTCCTCCCCCTCCTCCCCATCCTCCTCCTCCTCCTCCTCCTCCTCCTCCTCCTCCTCCTCCTCCTCGGGAATGGCGAACGGCCCCCCCCGTTCTGGTTTTCCTACTGGGCATTGTCGGTCTTCCCCCAGTCCAGTCCACCCAGCCCTGGCAAGCATGTTTTCTTCAAGCCCTGGCCGCTTCCGCTTTTTTTGGACTTTGCATCTGCGTTTCTTCTGGCTGCCCTGTACTTCGAGTGATTAGCTAGATGAGCCTGATGTCGATGGTGGGTACCCGAGCGCTGCGGACCGTACAGGGCTTGTAGTGGCCTCAACTGTTTAGTCAGACCTTCGTACGTGCACGCTGGAGAGCTCTATCCAGAAATGTGCATGTGCGCGAGCACTGAGATTTCGTGGCGTGCATGCTTTCGCTGTTCTTGAACTGGGAGGGGGGGACACCAGTAGAAGGGAGGCTGGGAGGGGTAAACGGGGCAGACGGCGACCTTCAAGTTCAGATGGCTCCACCCTCACGTCTCGGTCAGGATCTGGTGCGGGTGTTGAGTCTCAGGTATCTCGCCTGCGCGCGTGGGTCGCTTGTTTTTTCCCAACCATCTTGTGGTGTTTGGGTCATCGCTTTGAAGAGGCAGCGCCCCGCGTCTCCCCCTCCTTCCTCCTCCCTCTTCCTCCCCCTCCTCACTCCTCCTCCTCCTCCTCCTCCTCCTCCACCATCATCATCATCACCATCATGATCATCATCGTCATCATCATCATCATCAGCATCAGCATCAGCATCAGCATCATCATCATCAGCATCAGCATCAGCATCAGCATCAACATCAGCATCAGCATCAGCATCAGCATCAGCATCATCATCGTCATCATCATCGTCGTCGTCATCATAATCCTTATCATCGTCATCATCAGTATCGTCGTCATTATCATCATCATCGTCGTCATCATAATCATCAGCATCATCATAATCATCACCATCATCACTATCATCATCACCACCATCATCATTATCACCATCATCATCACCATCATCATCTTCATCATCATCATCCTCATAATCATCATCAGCATCATCATCATCATCGTCATCATCATCATCACCATCATCATCACCACCACCATCACCACCATCATCATCATCACCATCACCACCATCATCATCATCATCACCACCATCATCATCATCATCATCATCATCATCATCATCATCATCATCATCATCAGCATCATCATCATCATCATCATCATCATCATCATCCCATCATCCCATCAACCCATCAACCCATCATCCTCATCCATGCGTCCCCCCATCAAGTTCGGCACACCCCTCACTCGCTCCGTGGTCCCATAGGGAGCTCCGCCGAAGGCCCCAGTGGCAGGTTCGCATGGCGCCAAGGCACCCACTTCGGCACACCTCTCACACGTTTCGTGGCCCCATAGGGAGCTCCGCCGAAGGCCCCAGTTGCGGGGTTCGCATGGCGCCACCGCACCCAGGTCGGCACACCTCTCACACGTTCCGTGGCCCCATCGGGAGCTCCGCCGAAGGCCCCAGTGGCAGGGTTCGCATACCCATGTCGGTACACCCCTCACACGTTCCGTGGCCCCATCGGGAGCTCCGCCCAAGGCCCCAGTTTCGGGGTTCGCATGGCGCCACCGCATCCGTTTCGGCACACCTCTCACACGTTTCGTGGCCCCATAGGGAGCTCCGCCGAAGGCCCCAGTCGCGGGGTTCGCATGGCGCCACCGCACCCAGGTCGGCACACACTTCACGCGTTCCGTGGCCCCATAGGGAGCTCCGCCGAAGGCCCCAGTGGCAGGGTTCGCATACCCATGTCGGTACACCCCTCACACGTTCCGTGGCCCCACAGGGAGCTCCGCCGAAGGCCCTAGTGGCAGGGTTCGCATGGCGCCACCGCACCCGTTTCGGCACACCCCTTACACGTTGCGTGGCCCCATAGGGAGCTCCGCCGAAGGCCCCAGTGGCAGGGTTCGCATTGCGCCACCATACCTATTTGGGCACAACTGTCACAAGTTTCGTGGGCCCGTAGGGAGCTCCAGTGAAGGTCTCAGTGGAGGGGGCTCGCATGGCGCCACGGCGCCCAGCTCGGCACACCCCTCACACGTTTCGTGACCCCACAGGGAGCTCCGCCGAAGGCCCCGGTGGCAAGGTTCGCATGGCGCCACCGCACCCAGGTCGGCACACCCCTGACACGTTCCATGGCCCTAGGGAGCTCCGCTGAGGGCCCCAGTGGCAGGGTTCGCATGGCGCCACCGCACCCAGGTCGGCACACCCCTCACACGTTCCGTGGCCCCATGGGGAGCTCCGCCGAATGCTTCAGTGGCAGGGGTCGCATGGCGCCACCACGCAAATTTGGGCACACCCCTCACATGGTTCGTGGCCTCACGTGGAGCACCGAAGTGACGAAATGCACAATTGCGGTACTCACAGCTGCGTATGGTTGGGTCCTTCACCTGATCATTTTTTTCTTCTGGCCAGCCACCTGCCTGCGAGGTGCCAGTAACGAAACATGTGTCACAGGCCCAGAGGTTGACACCAACACCAAGATCGGCGGTGTGCCTCCACCGAGGGATGTGATCCACTCCAGGCCTCTAAATGTGTCCTGGGAGTGCGTTAATATTGACCTCACGCTCGGACTTCCTGCCTTTGCGCCCCATCTCTCAGCTCCGGCTGCGCCGCGTGTACGGGGGCAAGGAGGGGGGCGCTCTGCGCTCTCTCGTCGGCAACTTGCTGTCCTGCGGCGCCCATCGGGGATGGAGCTGTGCTCCCCTGGAGGGCTGACGGCGTGCGCATCCGCGTCGGCTTGGCTGTTCTGCTCGATCCGATTCGATACCTAGTCTGGCCAGCCCGATCCGTCTCGATCCCAATACTCCGACGATCCACTGCGGGCTGATGCTTGCACGGCGCTTCTGTGCATCCTGGCGCGGCCGATCCGATTCGATTCCGACTCCGTGACGATGTGGCCCGATTCGACGCACGTACCGGATTCGATCAGATTTTCTTGCTCGGGGGCGGCCAAGAGGGGGATGATGACTAAGGGGGGTGGATACCATGGCCTGGACCATACGCATCCTCGGATTTCATCGCCCTTCTTCTCATGTCAACATGTCCGCGCACTTGCCTCTGGCCATGATTTGAACGCCCTCTTGCACGCCCCCCTCTTGGACCCGCCCGACCCTGGGGGGCCGTCACAAAACGGCGCGCCGCCCGCGACGCGAGACCGGTTCCCAGAAGAGGCAGGATCGCGACATCGGAGGTCTGGGCGAGGTCCGTGGGTCCCAGGGTCCGACCGACCGGGCTCGCCGCGCAGGAAGTCGGGCCAGGGCCTCCTGCCCTGGCCCACGGTTGGCCCTGGACGCCCCTGGCCTACGGTTGGCGATGGGGGGGTAGCGTGCAAGGCGGCGCCGCCGGACTGCTCATGACACGCTATCCCGCACGGGGGCCAGCGTGCACCGAAGAAGCCCCTGCGGGGGGACAGCGCGCACAGCAGGGGCCCTCGCGGGGGGGGATCGCCTCACAGGGACAGCTCCAGGCCTCTCAGACGGGGCCCGAGCAGATGGGGCCGGCGGCTCGCGCCGCATCGCCGGTGCATTGGCGATGCGGCTCGAAGTGGAGCCCGATCTTTTCAACGCCGACGTCGGCGACGCATCTCCTCCGACCCTTATCTGCTCGGACCTCGTCTGGGAGGCCTCCAACGGCGGGCTTTTCGCGAGGTAGAGGACTGCAGGTCCAGGGGAGGAGAAGGAGGATGATGATGAGGAGGAGGAGGATGAGGGGGAGGAGGAGGAGGAGGATACGCAGTCGGATACGGATGCGGATACGGATACGGATGCGGATGCGGATACGGATACGGAGACGGACGCGGATACGGATACGGAAAGGGATACGTATACTGATACGGATACGGGTACGGATGCGGATGCGGATACGGATGCGGATGCGGATACGGATATGAATACGTATACGGATACGGATGCGGATGCGGACCAGGAGGAGGAAACATAATACTATTATTAAAATTCGTAAGAATACGCATAAACATTACTGTACAACTACGGATCATAAGGCTACTACTAATACTATTTCTAGTCGTAGTAGCAGTAGTAGCAGTAGTAGTAGTAGTAGTAGTAGTAGTAGTAGTAGTCGTAGTAGTAGTAGTAGTAGTAGTAGTAGTAGTAGTAGTAGTAGTAGTAGTAGTAGTAGTAGTAGTAGTAGTAGTGGTAGTAGTAGTAGTAGTAGTAGTAGTAGTAGTAGTAGTAGTAGTAGTAGTAGTAGTAGTAGTAGTAGTAGTAGTAGTAGTAGTAGTAGTAGGAGTAGTAGTAGTAGTAGTAGTGATACTAGTATTATCATTATTATTGTTGTTATTATTGTTATTATTACCATTATTATTCGTAGTAGTGCTGGTGGCGGTAGTAGTAGTAGTAGTAGTAGTAGTAGTAGTAGTAGTAGTAGTAGTAGTAGTAGTAGTAGTAGTCGTAGTAGTAGTAGTAGTAGTAGTAGTAGTAGTAGTAGTAGTAGTGGTGGTAGTAGTAGTAGTAGTAGTACTAGTAGTAGTAGTAATATTACTGTTGTTCTTGTTGGTCTTACTTATGTATACTTTTAAAGCACTAGCAGCAATGATGCCAATTATGATAGTACTAGCACAGCGAATAATAGTATTACCAAGGAACAAGACAACTAACACTATTAGTAATAACACTGTTGCGAACACGGATAATAACCACGAATACTACGAATAGTACTAATGATATTACGACTCAGCTTACTACTAATGATAACAGTTGGGCGAACCAGACGACCAATACTGACATTTGTAATACTAGTACTACTAGTACTAATACTACCAATGCGACTAGTACTAATAATACGAAAGACACGAAGGGGAGGAAGAGGATTATGATGATGAGGAGTATGATGATACGGAGGAGGATGTGGAGGAGGAAGGAGGAGGAGGAGGATACGGAGGAGGAGGATACGGAGGAGGAGGAGGCAGAGGAGCAGGATACGCAGGAGGAGGATGCGGAGGATGAGGATACGGAGGAGGAGGACGATACGGAAGAGGAGGATGATACGGAGGAGCAGGACGAGGAGGAGGAGGAGAAGAAGGAGGAGGAGGAGGGGGATGAGGAGGAGGAGGAGGAGCACACAGATGTTACGGAGGATACGGAGGATACGGAGAAGAATTCAATTCGGGGGAGGATGCGGGGGAGGATACAGAGGAGGATGAGGAGGATACGGATACTGATGCAGACACTGATGCGGATGCGGATGCGGATACGGATGCGGATGCGTATACGGATACGACGTAGGAGGAGGAGGAGGAGGAGGAGGAGGAGGAGGAGGGAGAGGGAGGAGGATGAGGAGGGAGGAGGAGGAGGAGGGGGGAGGAGGAGGAGGAGGAGGATGATGAGGAGGAGGAGGGTG